ACATATATATATATATATATATATATATATATATATATATGATATAGAGCAAAGGATTACTAGCCTACAATTCACACCGGAGTTCCCTAAGAAAGACATACATGGTCCCCCAGAAAAGGAGAAAGGGACAAGATCTCTGGAGCATGGGGAGGGGAGAGGGAGGGGAGAGAGAGTTAGGAGAAAGAGAAGGGGGAAAGAAGAGGGGGAGAGGTGGGAATGAAGGAACAGGAAGATTGAGACAGGAAAGAATAGAGGAAACCAAGAAGAGATGCCATAACAGAGGGAGTCATTATAGATTTAAGGGGAAATCTGGCACTAGGGAAATGCCCAGTGATCTACAAGAATGAACCTAACTAACAATCTAAGCAATAGTGGGGAGGCTGTTTAATGCCCTTCCAATGATAATGAGAATGATGACTACCTTATATGCCACACTAGAGCCTTCATCTAGTAGCTGATGGAAGCAGAAGCAGAGAGCCACAGCTAAACCTTGAGCTGAACACCTGGAATCCACTTACAGAGAGGGAGGAATGATAAGCAAAGATATTAAGACCAGGCTGGAGAAACCCACAGAATCAGCTGAGCTGAACAAGGGGGAGCTTATGCACCCCCATCTTATAGCTGGGAAACCAGCATATAGGGCTGACCCAGACCCCCTGAATGTGGGTGTTAGTTAGGAGGACTAAGTATTCTATGAGGCCTCTAGTAATGAATCAGTATTCCTAGTATAGGAATGGACTTTTGGAGTCTATCCCACATAGTGTGATACTCTCACAGCCTAGACATATGGGTGAGGGCCTAGGCCCTGCCTCAAATGATATGATAGACTTTGAAGACTCCCCATGGAAGGCCTCACCCTCCCTGGGGAGCTGAAAATGGATGGGCTGGGGTTTGATGAGGGTGTAGGGGAGGATGGGAAGGTGAGGGAACTGGGACTGACATGTAAAACAACCTTGTTTTATAATTAAATAAAAAAGGAAAACATATTTACAAATATTCATAATCCTTAAATTATTTTCTGCTCTGATACTCAGGGTATAATCTCATCCTCTCCCATTCTGTTCTGTATAACATGTAGGCCATGCCCTTGTTCTGTGTATCCACCCTACATATGACACCTCCCATTACTCATAGCATCCACACCAGATCTACTCTAGGGAAAGCACACAGATTCTTCAAAAGTAAGCTTTGTTTCACTTAGTAATATCACTACAGTATAGTAGCAATTGCAAATTTTGATAAGTTGGTGACAAAGTAAAGAACATTTTATGTGAAAAATTAAAAACTCAATAAAGAAAGGAGGAAGGTGATGCAATGCCTGCATCATCTACCTTACCTCACTTCATCACAGTGTATCATCACCCCAAATTATCACATAAGGGAAGAATGAGTATGGCACAGGAAGATATTATGACCCCCACATTTACATTACATCTCTTACAGTATATTACTATAGATGTGTTTATTATTGACTGTTTTTAATCCTTAACTGCACCTAACATAAAATTGAACTTTATAATCAGTAAGTGCATGTATAAAAATGCAGTGTTTATGTGCATGTGGGAGTAGGATAGGGGCGATCATAGAAGGGGGAAGAGAGAGGATGGGAAAGAGAAGACAGGCAAACAGAAGGCTGAGATTTCTTCATTTTAAAAGGGTTAGGAAAGGAAATAAACCTTTATTTACTTTTATGTTTCTAACACTATGCTGACATTTTATAATTATTTAATCTCCACTGCAGCCTTGTAGTTAACAGGTTTGTTTGAACTGCACAGATGTGAACTACTGACCCAGGGTCAGACAGTAATTCAGGAATCACTATTGCAGAGTTTGATATGCTCTATAGTTTCAGGCATCCACTCAGTTTAGCCTCATAGACTCTTAGATCTATGGACTACTGAGTAACTGTAGCACTTACAAGTAAAACATGCCCTTTCCACAGGTTCCAAATTATTTCTTAAAATAGCATAAGATTTTCAGTTTTCTATTTGTCATGCTGGGGCATGACTTTATGTCTTCATATAACACCTTTCCCAAATCCCCTTCCTTTTCTTTTCTTTCAATTCTAATGTCATGTAAAGAGTATTCTGATTCTGAATCCTCCACACAAAAATACTTCCTTAACTTCCTTCCCACATTTTTCCCTAATCATCTGCATGGAATAGGCTCACTTAACTCACATTTTCTTTTATTATGTTTGACATTGACATACTTGTGTTTTGTTTCAGACCATGCATCCTCAAAGTCAAAGTTCATACTTTTATTTCTGTTGTGTGATTCATTTTCTGGCCTTCTAGTACAAAAGCAATATGTATCTGAATTAGTATGAATTCCAGCCCAGAGATAAATTCCCCCAAAGGCTTTCAGTGATCTGTGTGAAGCCACTGGTGTGAAACAGAGGAATTTCAACATGCTCATGTTGGAATAAACCTCAGCAACTGGCTGAAATTCCCTGTATTTTGGAAAAGGATAGGAAAAGCTATGAGCCTTTATTAGGGTCTATGTTTCTCATACTGTGATAACATCTACAGAATGGTATTTAGTCTTAACAACAACTGGGAATTAATAGCCATGATTGTGCTGCATGTATGAGAATCCTGAACTAATCAAGTGTAGATTCCAAGTCTGTTTTAAACCCATAAGCCTTCCTTCTTTTCAGTATTCCACTAAGAACTATCATGAACTCTCTGAAAATTGGCTGTAGTAGCCAAAAGGAAGACATTGTGGAAGGAAAGGAAGCAATGAAAAGGCACATTGAGGGGAGCTCAACGGTTTGAATTCTGGGACAAAGTTTCAACAAAATTTTAACATAATGCATTTCTAGATACCCTATGCCCCATGAATCTTGATATATGACACATGAAGGAAAATGATGATTTGAAATCTTATTTTTCTGTTTCTCTCAGAAGCAGTATGGGGCTACTATAATGAGTACTAGAATAATGTGAAGAGAAAGTGGATTCCTGTGATATATTAGTTGTGATTTATTAAAGCTTGCCTGAAGATCACAAAATCAAAATAGCTGTCCACTAGTTCTTACTCTACCTCAGACTGAAGGTGATCCTGGCTCCATCAAGCTCCAGACTGTAATCCCAAACTTTTATGCTCTCCTCAACATGGTGGGAGAATTTTGAGACTCAATGTCTTCCTATCCTCAATGCGGCTGGAGAATTAATGCCAGCTGTAAGACCCTGCTCCTGTTTTAAATACCTCTTAAGTCCTGGGATTAAAGAATGTGATCCCAAGTGCTGAAATTATCTTTGTTTGTGCTGTTTTTCCTTAGGACTGGATATATTTCTTGTAGCTCAATGTAGCCATCAACCAACAGAGTTCTGTCTACCTCTACCTCCCAAGTGATGGAATTAAATGGCTGTACAACCACTGCCTGGCTTCCATAGCTTGTGGCTGACTTTACTTTCTGAATACATGGGCAAGCTTTAATAAATCATAAATAATATATCATCACATATTTCATTTAATGATGTGGGAGGAATGCATTCTCTATTACACATCTTAAATAGCATCATTTATAAGCGAAAGGAACCTAAAGTTCAAGAAATAGATACATGAGCTGTGAAATATCCATTAAGCCAGATGGAAACACGCCCTGTGTGTGACACCATGTCTAATGTTCTCAGAAGCTGTGTTACATTACAGAATCCCAAAGGTCACATATTAGGCAGAATAACTGTTCAAGTCAAGGTCATCAAACAGAACTTACCTTTTTAGAAAATACCAAAAACTTACAAAATGTTTCTCTGATATCAACTTAAAATTAAAAGGAATTATTTATATATACCAAAGATAGAACTTCAAACTTTCTATACTTTATCTAAAATAATTTCACAACCAGATACAAATATATAGTTATAGATCCACTTTATGTGTGATCAACTAGTTCCCTGACAACTTTGTATATGTTCCACAATACATAAATCATTAATATGTTTTAAACTACATATGTGTGTGTCCTTTTCTCCTTAATTTAATACATTTCCAATTCCATAAAAAGAGACAATTATGTATACTCTAAACCATTTGCCTTCAATATAATAATACTGTCTTAGGGCTGGAGAGATGGCTCAGCCATTAAAGGCTAGGCTCACAACCAAATAAACAATACTGTCTTAACCGAGTTTGAATCTTAATTCTCCTCTCAGTAAGATCAGCAATAAAATCATAAATAGTCTCATCAGCAGAAATACCTAAATTAGGTAATAAACACGTGCATGTGTGTCTGTATAATATACGTGGGAAGAACTCAGTGTCTAGATGCATACAGGACAAAACAAGACTACATACTCCATGGTGTGGCATTTCATCAGCTTTCAAGGATTCTGCCTGACTGTGTAGGCACCATGTTGATGTTCCAATTATTAAAGTAATCCATTTTTATCAGCTTTCTACCTTGTCCAGGTTACTTATGATTAATTATTTCATATATACCACATGTATGCATCTTTTGTGTGACCATATGCTTGTTATCTAAACTGTATACAAGTGGCATGATTGAAGATTGGAAAAAGTCCATATATATTATCCTTTAATTTGTTTGTAGACAAATTATTGTGACAGCAAGAGCCTTTTGTTCTTTAGGTCTTAAGTTTAAAAATTGTATCCTCAGAGAAGTCTTCCCAGGGCATATAATTTATGTTCTTGTCTGCCATCTGTTCCATAGCTTAGTGTTCCTTCCCATACTGTGACCTTTTTCTGTCTGTCTTTATGTCTGTGAGTGCAGGCAGAAATCTGTCCTTTGATTTGCCAACAAAGTGCCTAGTTGAGAATCCACACAATATGAAAGTTCCAATAGATAGGTAAATGAATGAAAACATTGTGGAGATACATATGCAAAAGAACACTATGCTAGCACACCATTTTTTTCTCATGTGATAAGGCAGAATATTGAAAATGTGTTCATTAGTCTGTGTGCTCACCACCTTTTGGACTGCGCACTATAACTTCCAGCATTTTCTAAGCACTTTCTTTCTCCTAATGCAAACCTTAATTGTTGCTGTGTGTGCTCCAGGGTATTCTTTCTCTTCCAGTGTTGACCACCTTTCTATAAATTTAGACACCAAGGAATCATCGTAGTCCACGATCTGAAATCCAGAGACATTTGCCCCTCCAAATTGAATTTTCAGCAGGTCTCCATCAGTAAATCCCTAAATATAAAACACATTTTGTTATCTCTGGGTAAGTTAGTCTCTCCTGTGCCTCTCTACACATGGGTCTTTACAAGTTAAATACACACTGGGAGGACAAAATGCCTACATTAAAGGTTTCATGCATTTAACAGCCAGTGCTCCTCATCACACCTCATACAGGCATCATTCTGGGTTCCTAATCAGTGTTTACTGACTTCTCATCTCATAAAAATCTCACAACAGTATTTACATAGAAGTTTTCTCTTATATTGAGACAGCTTTCCATGTGTCGTGTAAGGACTGAGTCTCCTTCCTTGAGATTATCATGGAGCACAGCCATGTGCTTACATATAGAAACTATAGATCTACATGTAGAAACTATAGATCAGAATATTCTCAGTTAAACTGATCATTCACCAACCTGATAAAATATCTTTAAAATCAGGAGGAAGAAACAAATACCCAATCATTGTTCTTAATTGTTTAACATAAGTGCAATTTCAATCTATACTTGAAACAAATACAGTACAATAATTGAATCTGAACAATAGCTACATCTCTGGAGAGAAACTGGGTGATTATGGGCATGTATTCTGCTCTTGCTGAGGATCCAGGTTCCCTCCCAATAGCCATACAGGCCCAGTCATATCCTCCAGTAATGTCTTTGATGTCCCTGTCTGACAAATGCAAGTGTTGCACTTATAAGCACAAATCCACACAACAATGTTAAACTTTCACTAATCCAACTTATATGTTATTATAAACTTTAAGAAAATTTTTTAAATCAAAGAAATAGAAGTCAAAATTTCAATGTGACAATTATAAACGTATTCACATTTTAAACGTATTAATTCTATCATGCCTAATGATTTAATATATCCTGAATTAAGCATGTATCTTTTATATGTTGTTAGTATTTAAAACATGAATTATTATATTTTTCTTTTTTGGATACATGGTTTCTCTGTGGCTTTGGAGGCTGTCCTGGAACTAGCTCTTGTAGACCAGAGATCTGCCTGCCTCTGACTCCTGAGTGCTGGGACTAAAGTCATGCACCACCACCACCCAGCCAATTATTATCCTTTTAAACTGGGCAAAGAGTGATTTTGTTTCTACGTAGTGGTGCTAAATAGACTCCTGGGATTTCTAGTGTGCAAGTGAGGCTCATCTAGATGCCAGGTGTAAACCACATGGGCAGGAGGCATGGTCACTGGTCTTTTCCCATTAGATTTGGTTCTTTGTTCTGTGCCATTTAGAATCCAAGTGTACATGGTATGTGTGTATGGCTAAATTCTGGGAGCTGAGTTATAGGGGACTGGAGGGAGCATTTGGAATTCTATATGAGAACTTCTACTCTCTATTAATCCAGTTATATCTGGATATTTTTCTGAAAAGTAATATGAACTAGAGATAAAATATGTGCTTGGTGGTCACCTGCTTGTTGGGGGTGTGTGTGGAGAGAATATTTGGGTGTACATTTATTCCTTTCAAAAAAAAAAACTTTGAGTCAAATCTATTACAGTAAATACCCTCATTGGTGCACCTAGTTGTCCTGGGACACATTTGAGAGGTCAGCTGATGTTTTGGTCCATAAGAGTTTTCCTTTTCTAGACAATGACTTATGCCCATAACTTTTTTTGGCAGAATTTCCCAGAGACAATGGAAGACATGCCATTATGGTCCTAAGTCAATGACAAAACTATTTGGATTCTGGGTTCAAAATCCCAGGGCAGTTTATGTAACATAGAGCCCCAGGGAATCGGGTTGAATCCAAACATCAGCTGAAGCCTTTTCTTTCTTAGTTACTTTTTCTTTATTGGTTCTATTGCTCCCTCACATGTTGCAGTAAGCATCACATTCTCAGTAATGTATGCATGGAGCCCATGCCAGGCTCTTCCTCTAGGGACCAAAGAAGAGTGGATAGAAAGAGCAAGGGTTACCAGTCTGCTTCCCCTGTCACATCTTTTCCCTTCTCTTTTTCCTGGCTCATGCCTCATCTGTTCAGTGCCCTGAGATAAAGTCTCCAACTTCTTGAATTTTGTTCTAATTTTCTCTTTCATTGGGTTTCATATCATTATATTCATTTGTTGTCATTTTACTATGATTATGTAATGCTTTCAACTGAAGGCTTTGATATGGTTTCATGATACCCTAAATATAGATCTTCCTTTCTTTACTCATTTGCAAAATTTCTATTTGTAAGTGAAAAAGAGGAGAAATATAAGGAGGTGATAGGGGATGAGAAGGAAAAAGAGGAGAGGACGTATGAGAAGGAAGAGTGAAAGACAAAAACAAAATGAGAGCAGAGAGATCAAAGCCTTACAGCTCAGTTGGCAAAAATCACCAAATCAATACCATCATATTGCTCAGGGAGATGTATTCACAACCTTAAATCAAGTGACTCATCACCATAACTTTTAGACGATCTCTAAAATTTCTAGCATTGTAGGACCTACACATCCTTTATCATGAACAATAAGTTAAATCCATGACAATAGCAAAGATGAGAACCATAAGCACAAGATCCTATGACCAGTCCCTCATCATATTATGGACCAGTTGTCCTTTCAAATGCTACAACAAGAAATTAATAGCAGCCTGAATCTAAAGAGCCAAGACCACTATTTAGCAATTCTTAAATAGATTAACCAACATGTGAGGATTTCAAAGAGTCTTTTAAAAACTATCTCTTCTAACATGCATAAGATACTGGGCAGACGGAAACGGCTAATTTTCTATTAAGAACAGAAGATGAAAACCCTTCAACATCAGGTGACATTTTTCAGAGTTCAATGTCATGAAATGTCTAAATTCTCAGAGATAACATCAGAAGCGGGAGTTATTCACCAACTGAATTACCAGAAGTTTATGAAGAGAGGAAATCAAGGGTCTGGAAGAGGAAAACTAGATCCACCTTCAGCTTCAGTATTAATTTAGGTGGATTTCTAAATAGAATCATGACAAGAGCATGTACTTGCTCACAATTCTTTCCTTTTCCATGGCATTACCAACAATTTTCAAATTGACGAGACACCTTCTGTCATTATTTCTCAATGTTCCAATATAATCTTCTCCATCTGGACATTTTAAAAGATCACAGCTTTTACTGTGGCTTTGTACTGTTCACCAAATGGCACAATTCACACAGGGGACTGAGCGTACCGGCTGTTCTAGGCCTGAACATAGCTCAGCAAAGTCTCATTGTAGAACTTCGTTTCCTGTTAACTCTTGTGTCTACACAGAGTTTTTCCTAATCTCCTAGATACATGCTAAGAGGAAAGCCCAGAGAATTGTCAGAGCAGCTAGTAATCATGCCACCAAAGAAAAATTTCATCTTGAACAGTCAACTTCTTCCAGACCCAGGCCACTCATTGATACTGACTTGGGTGTTCTTAGTGAAAACACTATTTACAAAAAATTTGTTGTGTTTTTGTGTGTGTGTGTGTGTGTGTGTGTGTGTGTGTGTGTGTGTTTCTATCATGCCATGGATATTTTCTGAGGGACAAGCCTGTGTTTGCATAAATACAAAGCCTTTGTGCAGTCCTATCTGATACAAGATCTAGATAGAGTAAACCTGCATTTGCTGCCTCTTTTTGCAGCATATTTTTCTGACTTTGTGCATGAGGTGGTGCAGAGTTCACTTCTAACAAACAGGGTCCTAGCTACTCAAACATCATGAGGAAAAGCAAAGACTATTTTATTACTCTTTTAAAGCTAATTTTGGAAATAAAAACAAATGTTCAATAATCTAAATTGATTGCCTGTAATTAAGAAAGAAAAAATCAAAAAATATAATTAGCTAACCTGCTTTTTTATTTATATTGAACTGATAAGACTCCTGATGAAAACATGATCTACTGTTTTAAGAACTCAGTTTTCATTTCATTGTGTTAGTTATGTACTATGGGGAAAATCAGGAATTAAGTATTTTTAAGACATTAATATTACATGATCTACAATATATAATTGATAATTTTATTGACATTATACTATCATATTTCTATATTTACATCCTCATAAATGTGCAGCAGTTTCAGATATTATACATATATTAAAATTTAAGTAAGAATGCATGCAATAAGTTTATAAAACAGAATGATGGGAAATGGATTATTAAACAGTTAAACTTTATATTTTTAAAAGGTTTCTCCTAAAATAGAATTTTCATGATAATTTTTGAGCAAATATTGTTGTGGAGACTTATATCACACATAATAATTAAAACTAGTTTAAAGTTGTATGTTGAGAAGTAAATCTAAAGCAACCAAGTAAGATATTTCATTTCTCAACTATAAAATATAATAAGACTATATTTTTAAATACCTTTATGAATGATGGTCATTCCAAATTAATATATTCAATTGGAAAGATTATGTGGGGGCACCAGGGAGATGGCTCTATATTTATAAGCTCTGGTTAATTCTCCAAAGGACCAGGTTTAAGTTCCCAGCACCCGTATGCTGAATCCCAAGTATCTGTAAATCCAGTTCTAGGGGACCCAAGGCCCTCATCTGGACTCTACATGTATGGTACATACATTAGTTCACAGACATATAAATATATATATTAAACACTCATACCCATAAAATATAAATATGTAAGTAAATCTTAATAAGTTTTCATGTAGTAAAATAATGCCAATTAATTCACCTACCAGATTTGCAATGATATAATGGTACCCTTTAACATGTTTTCCAATGGTAATAACCTAGCAAGAATAAAAACACAAACATTTAATACATGTGAAGAACAACAGTACAAAATTACTGATATGATGATCTGATTAACAAACGATGGAATTTGGGGTTTTATGTTCTACTACTAGTCATGTTTAATAAAACATTATTTTCAAATACAGAGAATGTTTCTCAGGAAAAGCTAATAATTCATTTTGGTGCTTAGAAAATATTACCTATTAAAAAGTCAATCACTAAACAAAAATAACTTTTCTAATAGTGCAAATATGCCCATGTATTTTGGGGGGAAATATAGATTCAAATATGCTTAATCAAAAATAAGTTATAATTGCATTTCTATCATTATATATCTTTGCCTTACTAATAAACAACCACTTAAAATAAACATCTAAAATATAACTATGCATCTATATACACTAGGCATGCATTGTGTTTATAGAATGATAATGGACATTAATGAGAAAATATAATATTATTCTTGGTACACTTACAGTTTAGTTCAAATGAATATTACTTTTTAATCTTTAGGCAACGAAGTAGCCAAGAAGCTGTTTTCTCTTCATAAATATGAGTCAAGCAAGATAAGCTTACATCTTAGAAGAAGAGATAACTCTAGCAACAATCATAGCACCTTTGGACATTATTGAGTCACATTTCCTGTCAGTACCCTTTATAATTGGTGTGGCGGATAGGGGCAGGTGAATGGCCTTGAAGCAGTACAGTACAGAGATGTACCTAGTGACAAACCCACTGTAAAATGAAAATAACTTGGGTAAAAAATGTATTGAATTATCTTAATCTACTTGCCTTCATAGTTCATAACCCAAAGTTTAGAGAAGTATAGTTTGCTTTTTTTTTAATGACTGGAATGTATGAGGGGAAGTGGTGACATATATCCACAGCCTGTTATTTATAGTGAGTACTATGATGAATTTTGACATCATCGGGGGAAAAAGTGCAAATGGACAGCTTCTGCTAACTTGACATGTTTTCCAGTGTATCATAAAGTTGAAAAATCTTTAGATGAGCCAAGTAAGTCTAGGGTCATTTATTTTCAAAATAATATCTTTAAACTGTATTTATTACTTATTACAAAAGGTCCCGCTATGTATCCCAATATCTCCTTGAACTCAGCCTGCAGGTCAACCTGGATCAAACTCTCAGTGGCCCTTCTGTGTCAGCCTCCAGAGTGCTGAGATTCTAAGTGTGCACCATCATCCTTTCCATTTTTAAAGAAAATAATCAAAACAATGAAAAGCATGAAGCTGCAAGCTAAAAAGAAATATGCAAAGCATTAGTTCACTTTCCTGATTCTCCCACTCCCCTTACTAAACAAACTAAAAACTAACAGTGAACCTGTAAGCTTCTCCAGGTTTACCTTTCCTTTCCTCTGCATCCAGATCACATGGTCTCTCTCTCTCTCTCTCTCTCTCTTTCTTTTTTCTTTCTTTCTTTCCTCCTTCCTTCCTTTCTTTCTTCCTCTTTCTCTTTCTCTCTTTTTTTTGTATTTAGTGTGTTTCTTTTTATTTAGAAACAACCTTATTTTACATATCAGTCCCTATTTTGCATAATAGCACACTTCTTTAACAAAAAAAGAAAAAGAAAAAAAAAAAAAACCCTCAAGATTTTCTGTCTCCTCACTTGAAAATTACTCCATGTTAGCGTATTCATGAATTAGTAACATTCATGCTGTAACCAATCTCAGCCTAAAGAGCACTTCCTGGCTGAAGACTTCTGTGATTTTTCATTACCCAAGACACTAGCATGGACAGAATTTCTAGAAAAGATTTTACAGAATACCATGCTGATACTGTGTCACGGCTGTTTGAAAAGAATTTAAGGTATACATAGACTTCTAATCCATTTTTGCATCACACAACTAAATTGCCTTTCCCAAGAATTCAGATCCTCTATGTGGAAGGCAGACGCTGGAAGAAAATATGTACTTTTTAAGTGGAAAACTTTTCCAATGTTAAGAACATCTGTTGATTCTGCCTATTGAGCAAGCTACTGTGTGAATGTCCCTGTTTTCCATCTGAGAATTAAGATGAACAGTACAAATGTTAGCAGTTGTCCCTACTTCTGTTTACTGGGAAAAAGAGGGGGTATGAAATTCACTAGGTTACACTCTTTATAGATGTTAGTGTTTAACCTCAGTAGCCATTATAATGTGCTTTACAATAGCAATTAGTACTATACAATGAAAATTTATGCTAATTTACAAGTGTTTTGGTGGCTGAACACTTATCACAGCTAGAAATAAGTGTTTTGGGATTTTATCAAATAATGTTAAAATAGTCATTATCTTATACAGGTTAATTCTGCTGCTAATTTCCAAATGCCATGAAGATAAAGAATTTTGTTCCATGTCCATTCTCTTGCAAATACTAGTTGAGTGAATTAAAAAGAGTGTCCTTTTTCTTAAGGTGTGCCTTATCAACACCTTGTACTTGGTGAATTCGTCTCCTCAAAGAACATCCTAGCCTAATCTAAATTATTACATTCAGTAATCCTCACCCAGAAAAAAAAAAAAACATTTTTATTTTCCTTTCAGTCATGGTACATCCATGTGGGTACATACATTGTGATTATGTAACTACAGCATTAACTTTCTTTAAACACACTTAAGTGTTTGCACAGAGAGCTTTGGAGACTTGAAATATTCATTCAGAAATAAGTGAATGGCTCCAAAATAGCCAAATACTACCATTTATGTACACTTTGTATAAATCATTCCTCTCAAAAGATGGGTAGATCCTCCTCTATCCATTATAGGTCACTTACACAGTTTAGATCTTATATGATCCACCGATAGCCCATGTGTAAAGGCGTGAACCTCATTTTAGTGCTATTAGAAGGTGGTAGAAGCTTTAAGAAATGGGACATCCTATAAATATTAGAGGAGTCTCCTTGAGGAGATTGAGAGAATCTGATCTCTTCTGATCTCTTCCCTTCTCTCCTTTGCTTTCCAGCCTCACAGAAGTAAGCAGTTTCCTCCAACACATATACCTGACATTATATATAGACTTCTCACTAGCTGAAAAATTACAGGCAACTGGCTAAGAATGAAAATATCCAACACAATCAACTGAAATAAACATTTCCTCTCTATAATTTGATTTGCACTATTATTTGTTACAGTAACAGGAAGCTGAGTAGCACAGCTATATGTGCTATAGCTTTTCATACCGTGACTTTAATTCATTTTATGAGATTCAAATAGGTGCCTTTCTGGTCATTCTTTTTATACTTCACTTAGATAATAAATGCTGATAAACTGATATGCCATCCAATTGTGCACTTGTTTAATCTATTAACAGAGGTGTATATTATTGACATACATGTATAATATAATGCTTCTTAAGTGAGGTGCTACATGGAGACTTACAGAACTACAATTACAGATTTTGGTTCAAACATTGCTTTCCCTGTTCACATTTTTGAAAGACACAACGGTATAAAGGTTTTCAATTGTGTTTATTATAAGAACCAGGGATATTTAAATTTTTAAACCAAACCAGTAAGTACTATTAAAATTGAGCTTTAATAAAAACCTCCTATGTAATTCAAATTTGATTTTAAAGTATTCATTGCAACAAGAGGCCTACACTAACAGCAATCCTAACTTAATCTCCTGAGACCAAAATCAAGACTTTTAGATTGAAATTATTCTCCTTTCTTGCATAAAACTTATTCCTTTATAGGTCACATTAGCTTGATTTAGTTATTTAATTCTTCATTAAGACACTCCAGTTTTTATTTCTTAAGAACTATATTACCCATCAACTAAGGCTTCTAAACACTTGTTTCTAGAGTTGTTCTCTTGAGTACATTAGTGATTTTAGTGATTTTCAGTTTTTATCTCAAAAAGCTAGAAAGAGCATAGATGCGTATACAACTGTGTGTTTTCATTCCAATCTTATGTACTTTCAAGGAAGAAACAGTTGTAATCTCTCTCTCTCCTCTCTTTGTCTCATCTCTTTCTGTCTCTTTCTCTGTCTTTCTGCCCCTGTCTCTCTTTATCTCTCTCTGTACTTCTCTCTCTCTCTCTCTCTCTCTCTCTCTCTCACACACACACACACACACACATACATCCCAGCTAGGGCTGGTGAAGGATGCCTTACTACACAAATTATGAAACATACTTGGTCAGTGTCTCTGCCTTTCTTACTGTGTTCTTATGTTACCACTTAATGGTTGTCCTATCCTGAACTGTCTTACCTAAAACAAGGCAGTGTGATAAGAATAAACAAAAGCATTCTCATGTCTGATTTAATTATTTTTTCTAACACCCAAATGAATACTGTTGACTTCCCACATCTTAAACATGGTTTAATTGTATTTCCTTCAAATTTCAAAGATTACAATTTTAAGTGGATACAAATTTCTGATATGTATGCAAAACCAAAACATTCTTCTTACAAACAATATGTCCTCTTTCTAAAGATGTAGACATAGTGTGATGGTTTGAATAAGACTATCCTCTATAAGTTCATATGTTTGAATGCTTGTTTACCAGGGAGTGAAAATATTAGATAGGATTATAAGGCCTAGGAGGTGTGGCTTCATTGGAGAAAGTGTGTCACTGGGGATGGGACTAGAAGTTTCAAATGCCCATACCCAACCCTACCTCCCTCTCTGTGCCTACAGACCAAGATGAAGCTCTCCAGTACCATACCTACCATTCCTGCTATCATGGTCTCTGGCATGGTGGTAATGGACTAAGACTCTGAAACTGTAAAAAAGTCCCTAATTAAATGTATCCTCTTAGATATAATTGATGGGGCCATAGTGTCTCTTCATATCAATGAAAAGTGAATAATACACATAGGTATAAAAAAACATAGGCTTTTTATATTGTTTTGAAATAACCATATATAAACCCCAAATCAATTCACTTTTGCCTTAGGGCATCAGACTTGTTTTGACTTAATTAAATCTAAAGTTTCCAACTCAGAAAAGCATGTAGGTTTATGACAAATTTATGTAAAATATGAAAGTTTGGTATTATACACTGAAGTTATTCAGTGATAAAATCAATTTGTCAGTATTATTGACAATCATCTGCCATTGCTTACTGAAGCGAGGCATAATTCAATTGATGATCTTTGCTGCATTGCAGATGAACTATAAACTGAAAACTGCTGTTCAAGCATCTTGCGGAATGACCCTTGCCAGTGCTGATGCTGCAAGCATAGTCTATACTTGGCAGAAAACAGAAGAACAAACCTGGTCCACAATGTCATTCACTTTATCCCTTTCACAGTCAAGAATTACACGCCGTTCTTTTTTTAACTCCAGGTCTTGAAAGAGCGATCTGTAGGTCTCATCTTTCTTGTCATTGTTAATGTTCCCCACATTGATAGCAGTCACCTGCCATTTCTTCTCAGCAGCAGAATCCAGCACAGCTTGCAATGTTGATAATCCTGGGAAAACAATGGGCAAGGATGACTGATGAAGATATGAGAGAATCTCTGACATGAATGGGGAATGGCTAGATTCACATTGTTAAGCTTGTTGTATTTGTACAGCTATGGGGAGGCTGAATTCTGACAGAAGCTATGATTTTTATAAATATCTGCTTATGTCTGTGTCAGATTAAAAAGTAAAAAACAAAATGCCAAAGGATCCCATTCTTTATAACTCTAAGATGTGGTTCTTGTAAAATGTTGATGCTGACATGCAAGATCTTAAATATCTCCAAATTAAGTAAAATGAAAAAAAAAACAAAAATAAAAACAAAACAAAAACACAAAAACCCATGAACTTGCCTCAACAACATGATGGGACAGATTTAGTAGAATTTTTATGGGAGGCCTTACCCTCTCCATGGAGCAGATAGGAGGAAGGGGGAGTAGAGGGAGTAGGAGGGAAGGAGAGAGGGGGGAACTGGGATTGGAATTTAATATTAAATTAAATAAAAGAGAAAAAATGATTAATTAAAAAAAATATCCCAAGCATATTCCTCTTTATAGAAGGCAAAATGCTTTTAGCTGTATGTGATAGTCAACCACTTTGTAGGGTTTATTACATGTCCACACAGACTCCCTGAGTAGCTGAATACCACAAACAATGATAGTTAAGAGGCTGCCATGCACCCTTTGTTGTCTCTGGTTAGCAGCAGAATAAAGGCTTTTTTCTTTTTCTGAAGCCTTTTGTTTATTTTTGTTGTTAGAGTTGTTCTTATGGATATTAAAATGTTCATTTTTTAACCAGATGGTGGCAGTTATTTCTGTAGTACAGATTTACTTCATTTCTTAAATGTAAGAGTATTTTTCTATTTGCTAACAACTTTTGCTCTAGGGTGTTATTACTTCTACAAGTGTCCCTGTGGTTTTTAATTATATGTGGACTGAAGCATGTTTAGAACTTTAGGATTAACAACCAGGGTTGGGGTTGTTTCGCAAAGAGCTAAATTTACAGTTTGATACTACAAAAAAAAAAATAATAATAATAGATGTCCTTGTCTTCCATATAATCTCAGCTGTTCTCAATGAAACCAAGTTCATCATGTAGAAGAATATCTTCATGGAAACATGATCTCAAGTCCCCATAAAGAATTCAGACTCATTATATCATCTTCCTCCTCCTAGAATGATCAGCATACTTCTGTTTTTATCTATATGGTGTATAATTCACCTGCTGTGACTACATCTGCTTATAATCTAAGTTCAAACACCAAGTTTACAATGGCCAGGAAGGGAACAGCTGTTTTGTCCACCAATATTTCAAGCTATAAAAAGTCATTGACAATCATATGGATTTTGTGTTAGTCATAAGTAGACAAAATGATTTAGGATATCTTTTGGTATTGACAAACAAGTAAATTCTTCAAAGAGGGCATATGTCAAAAGCTGAAGAGGCCATTTGTAGCCCGTTTAATACAGATGAGGAAAACGCAACATCAGTCAAATCAAATGGCAGCATCAGTCAAATCATAATGGCAACAGACTCAAGGAACTAATGTTTATTTGATTTAAACCTACAAAATCACAATTAATATATTAAGAATGTTTGTTTGATTTAGATGTGTCAGAACCAATTAACTATTTTGAAAATGGAAACAAGCAAGGACTGTGAGTTTACAGAGTCAAGGACTGTGAGTTTACAGAGTCATTGTCCTGTGTTTCCTATGTGGAATATACTGAAGGTGAAGTTATCAAGTTTGTTTGTTCTCCTATAGGCATAATCCAGTTAATACACAGTGAAAACACGTTGAGTTCAAAATCAACATTATGTAACTTCCACTGAAGTTTGTGAGTCAAGACAATTATTAATTATTCTCTACTACCTATGATATAGAGTTGGACTAATATGCAAAACTGAACCTTATCAAGCTCTCAATTTGCAGGGGATGTATGAGTACATATTGAGCCCAAAGGTGTTCAGATCATCAAAGTCTAGAACAGGAAGCCAATAACATAATAGGAAAGCTAAAAAAATATATTAACCAATAATGATACATAGAACTCATTTTTATCCTTCTCTGAACAAAGACTTAATGATATTAATAGATCTTTGCTATGTGGTCATATGTAAAATAAAAGAATATGTAATTGTACCCATTAAGTACTGAAATACTGGCAAATTTTAAAAAATGATGGTGGTTAGTGACAAAGAAATACCAGAAAAAAACATTGTTTTATGTAACAGTCATTGGGAAAGGTGTTAAAAACTCATGGAAACATGGGTATAGTGTCATTATTCTGTGATCTTAGGTTTGTCAAGGATGAAGTAGGGAAATCATGAGTTTTAGACCTAATCTCAAAACAAATGCTTGGCACTTTCCTGAATATAGTTTATAATGCAGATTAAAAATAAATTACCTTATTAGACTTATGTAACAGGGTGAACTCTAAGCAGTCTGGAGGAAGATAAATCAAAGCAGTCCTTTGTGTCTGCTTTTATATTAAAAAATAGAGATAAACATGAATTTCTCAAGGGTGACACAGAGATCAAAATACTTTTAGTGATAAAGCCTTAGAACCTATCATAAAGCACCTGATTGCTATTCACTCAGGACAAATTTGAATCCCCCAAGTTGTAGCTCACCTTGTATGCTTCTTGTCACCAATAAAAACAGGACACACACAACTAGTCACCTCAGCAATTCAATGGCTACAAGCTGTTTGAAAATACATTTTGAAACTACACCATTGTCTTTTCTACCTTGTAGTTATCAGACATGTGCCTCTAGTCACCTTAAAAATATGACCAACAATAAGGGTCAGGCTGTCCCCATTTTATTATTTTAGCAGTCATCAGAAGCCTCCTTTACTCTATGCACTAAGATATTTTATTGCATTTAATTAAATAGTGAAATTTCCTCATGAAATACTTCAAGTGCTAATGTATTTGGCACTGTGGTCTTTGACAGACACTATAAGAAAATGTACATATAAATTCACTTATAAATGTGTAAGTAGATTTCATCAAGTGATAAATTTAGTCCTAAAATTTATTGGCAGTTCACAATGTCAAAGAAGATAGAGGTAACATATAAAATAAAAGATGATGGATTTTTTAAATACCTAATTTCCAAAATCATTTATTCTGTGTCACAAGTAGCGTGCACTCAGTGTAGACTCTCCATTATTGAAACTCTTAGTATTAATATTTTGAAAGCTGTGTAACCAGAAAAAAAATTACTTCTATTAAAAGCTTAACTTCTCAAGTAGTGCTCTAACAGATTAGATACATCTGTCAGTAGGCACTGCATAATGCCACATCAGTCATTCACAAGCTGAGGTCAGATCTTGCCCCAAATTTGAAGTAACTGTTGCACCTCGCTTAGATTATCCTTCAGGGATAGCCATAGACTCTCTCAAGGTCAGTGACTCAATTTCTTCCTTCCTCACACCTGAGACAATCTTGTAGGATTTCTAGGTTTCTTCACAGTTCATACAATTTTAAAGTCATGATACTGACTCACTGCCTGCTTTGCCAAGGGAAGAGTGTTTTTAAATTACATACTGCTAAAAACATGTGTTCTAGCTACAAAGATACAACTAAATGCTTCTTTCACAACCTAAGTCCACAATGCTGTTCTCTTTGCCCTACACTTGAGTTAGGAGATAAAGCTGAGCTTTATCCTTCTCATATGAAATGGCACAGAGATTTCCTCATCAGTACCTGAATCCATTAATTCAGGTAGAAATGTGTGTGGTTAATCAGAAGTTCTGCATAAACACTGGTTTATGTAAAGATACCAGTGAGCATTGTAAGAAGTAAGGTTTTTCTGCCCACTGCCTGGTCTTGTCCTGCCTCCCCGCCGCCAGCCCCAAATAACACACAGAGACTCTGTATTAGATACAATTCTGTTGGCCAGGTACTAGTTTTTTATCGGCTAGCTCTGTCTTAAGTATTAACCCATCTCTATGTTTTTCCACGTGGTTTCACCTACTGGGGGAGTGGGGCAGGCGTCTGGTCTCCCCAGTCTCTCCATGCTTACCCCTTACTACTTCCTCTTTCCTCTTCATCTCCTAGTCCCGCCTATCTTGCTTTCCTATTGGCCAACAGTGCTTTATTCATTAAACCAGTATGAGAAACATATTTACAGAATCGCATCTCCCATCAGAGCATTATTCATTGAACCCAGATACTTATTCTGCTATATCCTGGCATTTTGCTTACTTCTTATTTCTGAATAATTTATCAAAAATAAAAGTTTTGAGATAAACAGGTGTCCATGTAAGTTCAGAATAAAACTTGAAACAATTAGTGTCCCTTTTAATCATTTAAAATCTAATCTTAAAACTTTCCAATTATGTCATAAGTTCTCAATGCTACTTAATTTTCAAACATTTGGATATAAAAGAAATGGCAATTCAATGTTTTTAGCAATAGATTTTCTATGCATGACCTAATTATAAACTGATAATTTTTCTAAAATTCAAAAAATCACTAGAAGTAATGCTAATTTCAATTAGACCTACTTTCCATTAATGAGAGAGAAAATTAGAGAAAAGATGGCTTGGAATTTCTTTCATTGCTTATTAAGGGCTCTAATATAACATGATAACTGTTGAAAGTCATATTCCATTCAGAACTAATTCTTAAATTTATTGTATTTTTTTAAAAAAGTTCATTACCTCATTCATTCTAGGCAGTGTAACTAATATGCATGCTCACTAACTCATGGCACTGTGCCTAGACTAGATTATATTAATATGAGTTTGCCTCATCAGCTTTCTCAAGACTTCAAAGAAAGAAAAATGTAGTTTGGAAGCATTTTAGTTCTTTGCTAGATGATTTCTTTGACCAGGAGTCAAGTTCCTTCCCTTTGAGGGATAAACAGTCTTAGTTCAAAGTTAAAAACCAAGACATAAGTACAGAAATGAGTCATTGATTCTGGTTTTACTTACTATACAGAGAAATATACTACCTTCCTTCATTGACATTGAACCAGGAAATACGTCATTGGACTCAAATTCAAATATATTGCACCTGTATCCAAAGATAAAATTATAAGGCCTGAGGGGTTAACAGATGGGGCCCATTACTCTAGTCAAAAATGTTACAAAGCTCCATCTCACTACCCCCACCACACTAATGGCACAAGGCTTTTCAGAAGGGCACAGAGTCCTCAAGGAGTATCACACTGCTGCCAAGTAGCCGGATAAAAAGAAGACACCTGCAATTCTGAAATTTCAGCAGGGAATGGGAGAAACAGCATCTGATTTCCTGTCTCCAGGAAACTGACATTGGTGGAAGAGGATTTCATACTCAGATCACAGCGCCAAGGTTTCCCGTGCCTCGGCATTTGGATGGATTTTGGGAAACAAGGTTAAATTTAATTACAGTATTAGTAAAGAATAGCATATAAAACAAAATATGCCTCTTTTTTCATCTGGTTTATAAATCTGGGGAGAATATTGTTGGGGAGGGAATTTTAATATCTAGATTTTATTCTATTAAAAGGAAATTTTATTAGCTGGATATCATAGTGTAATACACAAATCAGTGTAATCAAGGAGGTAGAGAGAAGACCATATTGACAACAGAACCCTCAATGATGTCAGTTGGTAGAGGAAATTAAGGGACCTTCTTTAAAAAAGTATGATCAATCAGAATAAGATAGGCCCTCCATAGCAGGTAATAATCCTACAGTGAGAAGGGAGCCCATGAGAACAACAGGGAAATAGGAAAGAAAGCAATTCACAGAATAAATGCATAGATTTTTAACATTATGCAAAGTCACAAAAATTAAGCCACTAATAAGACAAAAGTACTCAGAATAATCTCATTTCCATTAGCCAAATAAAATAGAACATAAAGGCCAAGGCCATTTCTGTGTTTGAGAGTCTTACATACTTATTACCGCTTGAAACAGTTGTCAGTGGAAGGATTGAGTAACACTTAACACATTAAAACATCCGCAGCTACTTGATAATACCTCAAAAGTGTGCTCATAAGGTCACTTTGGCTTTAATATATAATTACTTAATATTATGATATTAATGTTCTTTGGCCAACAGATGTATTTGACTCAAATCAGTTTGTATAATTTAATAATTAGAGATTATCTCATCCTTCCAGTTTTATTTAATATTTTGAAAGTATTAATAAAATGTTGTAAAGTGCCCCAGATTTTCTCTACAAGCACATAAGGCTAAAAGTCTTCACTTGACAGGTTCCTAGCTTCTTTTATTCCTAAGTATCTGTCTACCAGTTTTTGTTTTTCTCTTCCTCTGTTTATGTCAACTGTTGTTTATTTAGTTTTGAGACTTACTTCTCTTTCATTAATAGAATCTTCTCTCATACAATATATCCCGAACACAGACCACAGTTTCTCCTCCCTCTACTTCTCCAAACTCCTTACAACCTCCTCTCTCCCCAAGCTCTAATGCCCCTCCATCTTCTCTTCAGAAAATAACACACCTCCAAGAGACAAGAGCCAACAGGACAAAACAAAATACAATAAGACAAGACAAAAGCTCTCATATGGAGTCTGGACAAGGCAATAGGAAGAAACGAGTCCCAATAGCAGGCAAAAGAGTTAGAGATATAACCTCTCTCAATCACTTTTAACCAATGGGAATAACAAAGTGAAGGTAGGGGGAAGGGTTAGATAGATTCCTAAACTAAAGCCATCTTTGGCCTCATCCACAAGTAAGCCATCTTTGGCCTCATCCACAAGTAAAATTTGTTCATATTCTGCCCTTTCAACTTAGCAAGCATGACTCAGCTTCTAATATCAGTTCAAATTTAACACACTCAAACATTAATTACCTATAGATCTGCATGTCTAATTAAGAACGTCATACTCAATGTGAAGAGTGCCCTTATGTAGTGCCTTCCTACAGCTAATAGTAACATCATAAATAACAAACAGGCCTTACTCTGAATTAATACTCAACCCCTGGAATGTAGTAGGAATTCATTAAATAGTTCTTGAGTGACAGAATCAACGACACTATTAATTATGAATTGTTAAATACCCTAGGAAAGGAAATAAGATATCGCTTTGTAAGAAAATGACAGTATGACAGATGTCTCTCAGGAAATGATATGCTAAAGCAGACATCAAGAGGCTCTACAAATATGAGCTATGTGCAGACATTTGGCCCATATCAGAAAGTTAAAGACGGTCAATCAGATTAATGATTTAGATTTAGTAAATGAGCAAGTCTGGAGAACTCACTGGAGAACTGGGCAGAACCCAAATATTATAAAGCCTGAAAGTTAGGCTGAGAATTTCAATGTTCTACCTCTTATAATGCTAAGAAGGATGTCTTTCAAGCAAGTGGGAAGGAGATTGATGTTGGCAAAAGAAACACATTTAAAATAATTCAGACTACTTTGTTGAAAATGGAACACATAAAGACCAGTGTGGCACTAAGGACATGAAGTACTGAATGCATAGTGGTACATTGACCTTGGAGAATAGGTCTAAAAAGAAGTCTCTAAATATGAAATACATATAGATGGAAATAACATCACTATGATACAAGTATAAACAATGGATTTAAAATATACCTAACTTCTGAAATAGTTCTAGTAAAACCATGTTCTAAAAATGTGGTCAGAGGGCAAAGGGGAAGGCCAAATACTAATAAGCTCAGATGCAGAGGACTTTCTATCCTCATATTAAAGTCATCCTGAACCTTGAAATCCCCATTTACTACCACGACTCTGTCTATAGTTTACATTCATAGTGTAGATATCAAATCTTCCTTCTCAAAACAAGGGTCAAAGCTGTTGACAAAGTTTTATATTTTATTTTAGTTTAGTTTAGTTTATACAGTACTGACTGGCTTTTACACAGAGGCCAGTCATGTCATGGTTCAAGGGGAGAGGGTCAAGGAAATATGCCTAGCTTGAGAAGGCCAAGTCTAAGAGATTCATGGAGAATGGATTGATGCTGGCTCCTTTCCAGTCTGCCCTTCAATAACTAGGTGCTCCATCTTGGTCAAAATGGGCCTCTGGATTTCATTTGAAGCTTTAAATACTCCAAGAAGTGAACTGCTGAAGGAAGCACTATGGAGCTTAGCTATGCTTATATGAAATTTTTTACTCCCTTGTCTTTTCTTAAGAATAGTCTCCAAAACACATGAACATCCCGACAAAATGTTTTGTACAATGTGAGGTGTGCATAGATTCACATATGTTCTTCATGGGTCTGATTAGTGTTAAGGAGACCTTGGCTTCTGAACCCCAAAGCAGGCCTTCTAATACTAACCTTTACAACAAAGAATATAAATGTATAAAGAATTCCCCATCCCCAAATTAGTGCACTGATATAACACATAAAAAATCCTATGTAATGATACAAGGCAGCTTAGGTTGTATACCAGATGCCTGTGCTGGACTACCTTACACACAAGTAGATCATGACCTCATGATCAACATGTAACTTCTCTGAGGTTCAGAGACCTTATTTTACAGCAAAGTAAATGTTCCTGATAAATCTTTTACATTGAACAAGATTTAGTAACTATAAACTACTATAAAACTTTCTATTTATATGCTTTCATGAATTTCCTTCAAGTCACTTCCGCTCTGATTAAGGTCATGGCCATTCTGCTATCTTTGTTGCTCACATGACAAGCTGTTTTATGCTAAGACCAAACACTAAGTCATTAGTTTTTTCACAGACTATTCCTATCAACTGTGCTCTCAAATATTGAGTGTGCATTCTATGTGCCTGTGTTTTTGTTGTTGTTGTTGTAGCTTTGTTTTGGGTTATTTATTTGTTTTGGTTTTGATTTTTTTTTTACTTTCAGCATGTATCTATGTATTAAAATTGCATTAATCACTTATACAGCAAAATTAAACAAATAAATTCTTAGGCATTCATACACTTTCATAGTACTATACCAACACATGTCAATGCCAAGGGCAATTGCTGTGTTTGCCCCATTAAGTAAGGGATACATTCTGTCACCTACCTCTGTCACTGTCATAGAGGTATGCAAACTTATCCCATTGGTAGTACTCAATCAAGCTAAGGAGTGCTCCTTTGAGGTCAGGTCGCATCTGGATGACAAATGGATGTGTGCCATCTGTAGGGAAGCTAGGTGTGATGAAGGACACATGGAGTGTCCCACAAAATGATGTTATGGTATTTACAGACTTCTTGTCATAAAATCCAAAAATTGCGTAGACTCCTCTTGAGAACTGGGAGCAGACTGGAAATTAGAAACACAGAAAGGAAAAGCTATTTAATCATCATGTAATCACATTGATTTTCTTGAAAGACAATGTTCCTTCATATAGAGTACAAAATCATTACCAATCAATAGAAATAGCAAGTTAACATTAATGAATCATCAAAATTTATGGGGAACTTATTTCCTTAGCCTTCAATTAGAAAAAAAAGGTGTAAAGTAGCAAATAAGGATGCAAAAAATGCCCATTCCCTATGGAGGTTAGTGGTTAGTGGGGGAGGGCAAGGGAGTATAGGAGGGAGAGGGAACTAGGATTGAGAAATAAAATAAAATTGTTTCTAAATTAAATAAATTTTAAAAGATTAAAAATAAAATAAAAATAACAAAAAAAAAAAAAGAAAAGAAAATGCATGGATCATTTAACAAGCTTTACATGGGGAAATGTATTTTCGGACACTTTTTAAAACATATACATCATTGAGGCTTTACATTTTTATTTTAAAATACAATTAAATTCCTTTCCCCCTTCTTTTCCTTGTTCTAATGCCTCCCATTACTTGATTCTCCATCTCTTCTCAAATTAATAACCTCTTCACTTATTGCTACATACGCATAACATATCAATACAACTTGCTGAGTCTTTTTTTGTTGTTGTTGTTGCTTGTATGTATATGATTTCATGGATGAGAGCTTTTTAATGCAGTAAACTACTAGGGGTCTTATCCATGAGAGAGGCTAACTCTCTCTCAACAACCATTAGTTGCCTGTAGGTGTTCTGTTTTGTTTTAAACTAGGAATAGCATCCCACAGGATTTGCCCTATTCAGTGTAGAATGTTTATTGCTAATTTTAGAAACAAACTGTAGTTATCTAAACAATAAATTCTCCCAAAACAGCTTATTCCTAAGAAAATCAGATTTTTTAAGGCTTTACATGATCTGGAGAGATAGTCCAGTTGTAAAATGCATACTTCATAAGCAGATAACTGAATTGGAGCCATAGAACCCACATTAAAAAGCCAGCCATAGTGTCATGCTTTAGTAATATCATCACTTCGGGAGGTAGAGATAGGAAGATCCATGGGATGCAATGGTCAACTGGCCTAGCCTAATCAGTAAGCCTCAGATTCAAGGAGAGATTTTGTAAACATGAGGATGACAACACCCAAATGTGACTTCTGTCCTCTTTATTCATATGCACACATGAGTATGCTCAGCAGCATATACACTCACGTACCAACACACATGTGGAGATATACACACAAAGAAAATCAAGCTGAATTGTTTTGATGGGGCTTTATTTCACAAACACCAGTAGTTCTAATGTTAACCAAAAATTTCTGTATGAAGAGGAAGATATCACATTTGTCCCAGATATACAGAAATCTATCACAAAAGAGGTATATCCTCCTCTGTGTCACTCAACTGGCAATTAAAGTAAATAAATACAATTAAACAAATTCTCTAATTTTACTTGTTTTTTTTTAACACCGAGCTTAACCTACATGTTCCCCTGCATATAAAACAAAAGTTAATAAAATATTTTGCCTAAGTACCATTATTTTTAATATAATAGGATATTGTGTTTGAAAGTCATCTTCCACAACCCATTGGCTACTTCAGATATTTCTATCACAGTGAATTAATTGCACATGACTATTTTCCCTCTACCTTTCTCTTTCTGGAAGTTCTTTGGTGAAATCTATATACTAAAATGTGTTACTACGTTTCTTCTACATTCCAAACACCCTGCTTCAGTAAAAGAAAATTCTTACATGATGGATATCATGTGTCTGCTAAAGTTTATATTAACTCATTTCTTTCTTATGATAAATCTTGATATAGGAGGATTTATTATCCCCAAAATAATGATAGAAAATTTGTCAATTTGAGTAAATAGCCTGTAGTCAGTAAGAGATGCTATGTTATGTTGCTGACTTTGAGCGTACAGCCCCCAATCAGCACCAGGGTAAATAAGGAAATCCACAAATGCAGGGAGGGCTAGACTTTTCTATCTGAGGATTAAAAAAAAAAAAAAAAAAAAAAAAAAAAAAAAAAGAAAAAAAATAAGTAAACACAGATACTTTCTGATAGTAACTTCCTCTTCACTTCATCTTAAGAAAATCATCCCTGTTAAATCTCTCTTGCTCTTTTATACAATTTGTTAATTAGCTCTATATCTCTTCTTCCAAAGCTCTGTTCAGTAGCTTCTCCCTACTTAGCTATATCCTTATCTTGGCTCTCTCTCTCTCTCTCTCTCTCTCTCTCTCTCTCTCTCTTTCTCTCTCTGCCCTGAGTTTGCTGCTTTATTCTTCTGCATCACCGTTGCTTTTTTTCTGCCTCTCTCCTTTGCCTCTCTGCCCTCTGTCTCTCTTCCAGTGCTCTCACAGCCAAACGCTTGGCAATTGTATATTACATATTTCAATTTCATAACACATGTTAAGTCACATAGTTTCTTTCGGGTTATACAATGTTACAATGACCCATGCATGTAGCTCTAGGTTGGTGAGGGTTCCCAGACAGAAAATGACATTGGAAATCAAGATTTCACAATAGCAATTAATTAGCTGGACCTTGAATGGCAGGGAGTATGTACAGACTAAAGTTGCTTCAAGCTCTGGCCGTGAACCAGTAAAACACTTGGGGAAATGACCTTGTGTATTTGTCTCTAGGGTTAACCAACCTGCCTTGAATCTGCTCTAACATCTAAAGTTAGCTAGTCTGTGTAAAAAGCTGTTTTTGTGACTGAGAATCCTATGTCTGTCAGAGTAAAATAAAATATCCTAGCATTATTTCCATTCATCAAGACTACACAGCCTAAGCAGAAATCATTCTTGTGACTATTCAAAGCTATATGTGTGCCCAACAAGCATAAAACACAACACTTAAAGATTGTGGAAACAATCCCACAGATGTTATTTTTTATTATTATTATTTAATTTATTATTTTACATGTCGATCCCAATTCGCTCTCCCTCCTTCCCTCCCTCCCTCCCTCCCTTTTACCTTCTCTGTCCCCTTACATACACCCTGACCACCCTCCCCTCCCATCCCCCCCACCCCAATTCCACTAGGGCAATGCCATCCAGGTGAGATCATGCAGATCTGTCAGGTCATTTGAAGTAGGGACTAAGACTTCTCTCCTGTCTTTAGGGTAAGGCAGTATCCCTCCATGGGGGATGTGTTCACAAGGACCATTTTTGCACCAGGGATAAATCCTGGTTCCACTGTCTGAGGTCCTTTAGACTGCTCAGTCCTTCTGGCTGAGACCCATATTCAGGGGGGTCTGAGTCAGTCCCATGATGTTCTTATAGAGAGGTATAGTGGTGGCACTTGAAAATGTTACAGGAACAACTGGTTATCCCGTCAATATCCCCACAGCTTTGCCAAGTGGGGCTTCACAATAACTTCTGGTGAGATGGCTTCTTCAAGTAGGACTTCCGAACAAGGGTCAACTTGTTAAATTGTTGTCACTGATGTACAGTACCATGGCCCTTTGCAGTGTTCAAACCTAGGCAGTCTGGATTCAGAATTTAAATATCATACAATATATTTTAAAAGCCCAATTAATGAACTATCTAGCCAAGTGTTATTGTTCCTGTACTCCTGGCCCCTTTCATTCAGATTTCTTTAGTATAATCAGAAAGGTCTTTTGAATTATCAATATGACTGAATCTCTTCCTGGAAAGTGACAGTTACTTGGCCCAGGACTGCTATGTTCTATAGAAACCATCTGTGACAGTCTTCTAGCCACCAGCCCCAGTGACCAGATGCTTTTGATGGATACATATCTGGTCTTTTAAGAATGATCCTGAATGTATCAGCATCTTCCAAATACATTACCTCCACATGAAGACAAAACCAACACTATCTTACTTTACTATGTCTCTCTCTCAAAGATAAGTAGAAATAGATTTGTCGCATAAACAAGAACCTTGGTAAAAATAGATGCAAATTCTAAGAAGCAAACATAGAAATATAACCAACATTTCAATAATTGATCATAATTGAAAGGATGCTGATATCAGCTATTCCTCTGAGTGGTCCATATTTCTAAAAGATTTCTATCTTCCTTTAAATATTTCTTGGCCTTCTACTTAATTCTGTCTTCCTAGCATAAGCTTTCTGGGATTTTAGGGTACATCTATATAATAGATTTTTGATATCTCCTCTTTTATTTTTAATGTTCCATAGAATGGGCTGCAGAATACATCAGAGAATAACCAAATGGTTTTTCACTTATTTCATGAAACTCTGAGATGATATTGTAGTATTTTATCCATGTCTTTATTATTTGTTATCTTCCAGACAAAAGGGTAGCCTTTAATATATTTGATGACTGTATCTGTTCATCACATAGCTATAAAAGGCCTTTGGCTGTGAAGGCTTCTAGGCAAACTCAGCAATGATCTCTTACTTTATCTGGATACATGCATACTGACATCGGTATCTTAAATTTAAATTGATGAAGCATGACACCTGAAAAGGGAGGATTGCTATAAAATTCTCTCTGGATCTACTTTATTTGATTTCCAGTGAGAGGCTGGCATGGCATCTGGGCACTATGGGGCTATGATATAGTATGATTTATTGATGGGACTTCCTCTTTTTAATGGAAAGAGCAGCCACGGCATCACCTGAATGCTTGAAAGGGAAAGCTGCTGTTTGAATACAGAACCCCAGGAAGGAACCATCACTTTTCATTTCCCATTGATCTGAACTAAGTTGTGAAGACCCCTTTGTTTTGTAACCAGCTGGAAGCACTGCCTGTGTCTCAGTAAGAGGACAAAACTATATAAAACTTTGTAAGAAATTATGGCTCTTTTAACTCAGAAACCACTTTTTTTCATAGGGAATTCTACCAGTTCATCAGTGAATATTATTTTACAGCAATGGTCTTTGTCTCCTGACAAACCTTGGTTATCCTCAACCCTATCACATTACCTTTCATGAATTATAATGACTTTCTTTTTTCCTACTCTGCTCCATTTTTTTTTTTTAATTTTACATGTCGATACCAGTT